GTCATCATTAACAATTTCCTCATTGCAATTTTCAATACACTTCTGCAATTGTTTCACAAAAAATGATGAAAGAAGCAAAACACACAGCATAAATCCCTTTCCTTGTAGTTGGAGTTAAGAGACCCCACTCATGGAGGGGTGTAGGTATTGGTAAGTCATGCAGCTCACTGCTAACTGTATGGGTCTGACTAGATCCTGCCTCAGTTCAAGTCAGCAGAGGAGAAGAACCGTTTGCTGCGAGCAGTATCAGGGGCAGGGCTTGACTCTCTCTCCTCCCTGAGGGCCAAATGGGACAAACTGGAGCTTGTCATGGAGAGCCATCAGCTTATGATCAAAGATCAGGTATACCAGTGGAGCATCATGGTTTGAGTTTTCTGATGGGACACGTCTTCTGCCGGTGGTTGACTCGTTGTGATATCATGCTCTTCTCCTTTCTAGGTGGAAGTGATGCGAAGTCACACCACAGATCGTATCAATGCCTACAGGGCAGATCTGGAGAGGTTCAAGGCCCGCTGGGACCAGCTGAAACCCAAAGAAGAGCTGCTTGAATCTGGTGATCATGAAACCCTACTTGCCAGTCTTCAAACCATCAGAGATAAGCAGCAAGAGTTCCAGGAATTAGAATTAATGCGCAATAAGCTAATGTAAGTAGTTTATTATATAGTTTATAGTCAGAATTTTTGAGGTGTGGAGAGAATGTATGGTTTCTGATCTTCCCACCCTCTTTTTCTCTTTACACTACTTCTCCTCTCCTTAGTGAGGACTGTGTGTATTTCGACCTGGAGGTTTCAACTTTCCCTCTTGCTGAAGAGACAAAACAAGACATGGAGGAGTACAGTCAGATGTGGGGTCTGTATGAGGAGTGGCACCAAGGCTTTACGGAAAAGGCTCAGGAGGACTGGATCTCCTTCAGGTAAAGTAACAAACACAGATCAAAAACATAGCACTGTTCTAATTTTTATTCTTACTTTAAATGTTTTATTTGCTTCAACATTTTTTTCCCATTTGACAGGAGTAAGACCTATCTGTTTGAGGAGTTTCTATTCACGTGGCAGGACAAACTTCGGAAGCTGGAACAGCCTACAGCCATTTCTGTTAAACTGCAAGAAGAAGTGGACAAATATAAGGTACAACATCTAGTTAAAAACATGTATTTTCTGTGTCAGTTGATATGCATGAATTGACATTGTTCTGTGTTCCTTACACTCAGCAACTAACCAAAACATTGCTTTGCTCATGTAAAATATATATTGCTAATGCATTTTTAAAAATGATACATTATTCACCAATGAAAAGTCATCAGTGGGGGCATCACGGTGGTCGACTGGTTAGCGCGTCAGTCTAACAGTGCAGAGGTGCAGGGTTCGATTCCAGTTCCG